AAAAATATTAGAAAGATGTTTAGGTAGTTACGTATTTTATTGCTTATAACATTTTCATCGGTAATAGAATAGATCAAAAAAGTTTTTTTAGCCGTATAGTAGTATTTATTTCGGAAATTCCGGGCCATGACGACGATACTGACGTGTCACGACGACTGTTGGCAAATTGATTGCTAACGTTATCGTAATCGTAGCTCAATACTTTCCTATCAATTGACATTTTATTATAGAACACCTAAATATTCTTTCATTTTATCGCCGACTGCAGCAGTACACGTATGTAAAATATGTTTCATTGTTAATTTATGTTGTAATTCATTGTGTTAATTTAATTAGATGTCAATGTAAATAAATTAAAAATTGCATTAATATTTAATACATTTATATATAATGCCCCCCTAAAAATTTGCTTTGCCCCTCCTGAAAATTTGGTCTGGCTACGGGCCTGGCTGTGTTATTTGTTGTTTCTCCATAATTGTAAACTATAATTTATTTACCAATGTTTACCTGGGCCTTTATTTTGCATATAAATTGTTACTCACATTATCAATCACTCAAGTAGGATATGAACAATGTTTTTCAAAACTTAAATATATTAAGAACTATTTAAGGAATTCAATGTCACAAAAACATTAAAAAAGCTTTATATTAATGAGTGTGGAAAAAAAATGTTAACTGAAATAAACCCTAATGATTTTATTGATAAAGTTGCTACACGTAGTCAAGTTTTAAAAAACAAATTAATGTATTAAATGTTGCCTATTTATAAAATAAATTGTTTTCTTATAAATTAGGTATACATTTATATTTTCCGTAATGTTACAAATTCTTAAATTTAAGTATTAAATTCCTAGATTTCATTGTCAAATAACTTAATATGATTCCCGAAATAATATTACATAGGTACCTAATATAAATGCAAAACTAGTAAGTATGATTATTTTTTTGAATTTCATCATTGATTAAATTTAACTTTTAAGTATCTATCATAAAGTAAGGTAATTATTAGTTAATACATACATATTTTATTAGACAGTAATATCTAAACTATATTATGTTCATTGGTAAACGAAAAATATATAATTTTTCATAAAAATAAATTTTTTGATCATTTACTCTTACAATTTACTACATTTTTGTAATTTTGTGTATAATATTAATTTATCAAAAGTTATGTTTTTAGGAATATATTTGGTATTATATTATTTATATATAAATATGATATTAAGAATATAAAATACATTTGTAAAAGGAATGCTAGCGAAGCAAGTGGTACATTTTTGGAGGCCCTTTTGATTGGGGGTCCTAAATTTCAGTTCTCGGTAATATTAAATATCCCTATCTGACGCTGTACCTATGTCATGAGTTTGGATGGTAATATTAGAATTTTTAAGGTTTATTTATTTATTTACACTGTATTTTTATTTTATTTTTTTTAGGTTTATAATATATTTTGTTGAAGTTGGTTTTATTGATTTTGATTATTTGCGTGGACATTTTTATACGTCGCCCAATGAAAATCCCTTAAAATATTTACTATGTACTACGTAGGTATATCTTTTTCCCATCAGTAATTCTGGATGAATACATTTAATTTAAGGCATTAATTTAATCCAGTGGCGTGTCGAGATAAAAATGTTTTTGATGCCAATTGCAAAGTCTAGATTACCACCCACCCACCCATATTTAAATTCATCTCATTCAGAACTCATACATCAATATTTCTCTACCTAAATATATAGGTACGATAATTATGTGATTTACATATTATTATCCAACAACCACCCACCCCTTTTTAACTTGATGCCTGGGTATCATTTAGACCTATATTCGGCACGCCACTGATTTAATCTACAGCTTAACAGTAAAAAAATTAAAAATACTGACGAAAAGCGAAAAAAATTTATATTCACTCTTTCGAGTGTTCGTTCGAGTGTGTTGATATCGATGTTATCTTTGGCGAGGAATTACGACCACGATACTAACAATATCAAGTTCACTGATAAGTTTCTCGCTCATTTCTATCCGGTACTTTTTTTTGTTCATGTCTATAACCTTATAAATAATATAACTTCTATATATAATTATTTGAATTATTATTGTTATTATTATCGTTTTTAATATTATAATTAGTTGTTAGGTTCAAGAATTTCCACCGGCGTTACAGTTTGTTTACAATAACGATAGTGATCTTGAGGATTTTAAAAATGAAAACATTTTTTCGATTTATACTGTGCATCATAGCCCTAATAATCTATTGCGAATACGTTATATACTACCTAGTGTTGATACAAGTAAGAATTTAAATTTTGAAATAACTGTTCCTCTTTTGAAAATACTGTTTGAATTCTGGGTTGTACAAATTATATCAAATGACAGACTTTTAAATTGAAATTTTTTCTTATTAGTGAAGTAATAGATTCTTGTTTGGAAATTATTTCTTCTTATTATTCTTCTTCTCCTTCGCCTTTCTCCCAACTATTTGGGGTCAGCCATTCTTATCCAAAAACCTCCAATCGTCTCGATTTTCTACATCCGTAGGGCACACACCAACAACTCTCATATCATTCTCAATCATATTCAACTTCTTCTTTAGTTTTCCTCTTTTTTCCTTTCGTTTTCATTTTCATAACAACTCATACTACATTTGTTTTCTCTCATCTCATCACATACTCAAAATATCTCAGTCTATTTTCCCTTAACTGGTCCACTATGAACGCTATACCAATACTACCTCTCACATATTCGTTCCTTATTTTATTTACATTTGTTACTCCACTTATCCATTTAAGTATTCTCATTTTTACAACACTAATACTCTGTTCTATTTTTCTGTCAACGGCTCAATGCTCTAAACCATATAGCATAGTTGGTATCACTACACTCCTATAACTTGTACCTTTCAGCCTCATTAGAATTCTCTTATCACAAAAACCCCTGATGCTTCTTTCAATTTTATGTTTAAAAATTATTTAAAATGAAAATATTAAAGCAGGCTTAATCAAAGCCCATCCCCTCATATGGTTCTATATGCATACGCATAGCCTATAAAATGGAAATCATAGCATAACATGGTCTTAGAAAAAGTGTGTATTAGTTTGGTCAGAAAACATGTCTGGTAGGTAGTGGGCTATTTACTTTTTAAAAATAAGCAATAATATAATAAAAAATCTTATTGATTACTGTGTATAAGTTAATAAATGATTGGTTATTTTTCTATTAATTTAATAATTTTAATTATATCAGATAAGGACTAATATATAATACATATATACACATATAATACATGCTATCAATTCTGCACAGTAAAATTATTTTTTAAGTTAATACCTTATAATATAATTACTATAATTCAATTAGGTACCTACACAAATGATACCAGTTTTCAAATTTAAAAATTACTTCTGAAAGATGTACATTTAAAACAATTTTTTTGAAAGTAAGTATTAACTTACAAATAATATTTAAAAGTATAATAATATATAAGTAACTTTAACACTTTAATTTATTTAAATTATGAATATAACTTTTTTAATAGAAAACCTCAAATCTTCAATTAACCAACATCATTAAACCTTAGGGCAAAAATTAATTTATGTACTATAGACATAAGCACAATTAGGGTGGCTAGGAGCTAAACACCCCCTAAATTTTGTATAGCCCCCCCCCCCAAATACTTATGTCATACATACACTAAATTACGGTATAATATGAAACAAATTTTATATTTATTTTTACTCATACACACCGAAAAATAATGCAAATATAATAAATAATGCAGAATATGAATATTTTAAGGAACATGTTACTCAACAAATTTTTCCAAATTTATTTAAACTCGTTTAAGTAGCAATCATATTACTAGTCAGTTCATCCATTTGTGAGAGATAATTTTTGGCAATGCAAAGGATTAATTCATATTTAAGGTCTACTATGGCTCAAAACTGGTTCAATGAATTATGTATTCTTAATATAAAAAAAGATATTGTTATAGACGTTGAGGATATTTTAAACAAATTTTCTAAAACATGAAGTAGAATAAAACTAATGTGATTTACTTTTTAATAATTTGTTTTGATTAAAACATACATATTTAAGTATTGTAAATTAATAACTTTGATTAGTACATTTAATCTGAACGTAGATTTTTTTGTGTCAATAAAGTGTTCAATATAAATCTGAGTTTCAGCCCCCCTCCTCCAAATCTTAAACACTATTTGCACTTATGACCATAGATATTTTAAGTTTCTGTCACAGTTTCATTATATTATATTATTTAAATAATTCTTGACCATTAATAATACCTATTTAGTATAATTAACAAATTGAAACTAAAATTAAAAAAAAACAAATGTTACTCACTAAAATATTGATAAATGTATTTGTAATTCTATATTTAATATTATAATATATTAACATTGTTAATAGAATATATAATTAACTTATAATTGTATCACTAAATGTCTAAATATAGCATAGTAATGTAGTTCTATCTATTGTGTTTTATTCATTGTGTAATTTTAATTTTTGCCTTTTGGCGCAATATTTTAAAGAACTAAAAACTGGCTCTCTTACTTCAGATAATGGTAACTTACTTTATACTTATCAATTTAAAATTGTATATAATATGTTATAATTTTAAATTCTTATAATTTAGAGAATATATCTTATTTACAGCTAAAACAATATTATAGTAATTATTTCAACTAAATTAATTTTTAATAAATGCATACCCATATAAATGCCCTTATAACCTTCAACAATTATTTTTACAAAATACTATTTTTGACCAAATTTAATTCATTAACATTTTTCAGAACATATATATTACTTTCTCTATAGCCAATATAATTATATTCTAAAATGTGAATATATCATTATCCATTCAATCATTAATTATTTTAAAATGTTTAGTGGATTAAATACTTAGTAATATTAATATTAGTTAATATTAAAGTTAATATTTAATTTTGTAAGAACTATAGTTCTTACAATAACATTAAAAAATATCTAACTATTATCTTATTTTTAGTGCAATTGGCCTTCATATAACAACACAAAATCAGAACAACCTGTTAAAGTAATGTTTGTAGCTGATACACATTTACTTGGTAAAAGAAAAGGACATTGGCTTGATAAAATGAGACGGTAATTTAAAATTAAATTAAAATTTTTTGGAATTATCTAAATTATAATCCTGCCATCTTTAATTGAAAAAGTTGTAAAAACATTTCCTATTTGTTCATACATAAAATGAATGAAATTTTTAAAAAAAATGAATATTAATTCATGATAGAATTAAAGATTACAAGATGATTTATTGATAGACAACACTTTGATTAACAGATAGAAACTTAATAGAATAGATAGATTATTGTAAACATTATATTTTAAAATTATTGATATTTAAATATACTAAGAACTATTATAATCTTAATAATTAATATTGACTATTGATTATAATATTATACATACATATATTTACTTAGTTTTATATTGTATTACCAAAATAAAATCAATTGTAAATTACTATTTACTTTGATTATAATAATAATACAGTTAAATATTTACATTTTTAATAAAAAAATGTCAAGTAAAGCACACTTTAAAAATGTATGAATAATTGAACTTAAAAAAATCAATTTTATATCATTCAAAAGTACCTGATTTAATAAAATTATAACCATTTCTGATAAGTTGTTAAATATTTTAACCTGAAATCATACATAAATATACATAATAATATATATACATAATATTTAAATTTTAAAACTTGTTAAAAAATTTTTTTTATATAAATCTTCTCTTAAAAACTATTTATCAATTTTGTTTAATAATTAAATTTGATTAAATAATAATTTTTATATTTAAATAATAATTTTTAAAATATATTATTAAAGTTATACTTATATTTTTAAAAATTGTATTTAAACTTATTTTATTATTTATTTTTAGTCAGAGTTCATAATTTAGTTATCTATAGTTCATAAATAAGTTATCTGATTAGTTGTTCATATATTTATTTAATCGATTGAAAGTGAATTATTTCAAAAAAATATTTCAGCGAATGGGAGATGAGTCGTGCTTTTCAAACTGCTATAAAGATACATAAACCAGAGCTTATTTTTATCTTAGGTAAATTAATTTTTATTACTTAATTAAAATGTATAACTTATAATTTCTATGTAAAAAAAAAATGAACTTGTTTGTCTATTTAATAGGAGATTTATTTGATGAAGGATTATGGAGCAGTGAAGCAGATTTTAATTCTTATGTCAAAACATTTAAATATTTATTTTCAGTCCCACAAGGAATAGAATTATATGCTGTAGTTGGTAATCATGATATTGGATTTCATTATAGGTATAAATGAATCATTTATTATAATATATATAATTTTAATTTATATTTATATTTTTAATAATTTTTATATTTTATATTTCATTATGCCATACAGTATAATTCCACAACTTGAAAAGAGATTTAATAATGCATTTAATTCTAGTTCTGTACAACTGATAAGTAAACGTAATGTACATTTTGTATTAATAAACAGTATGGCTATGGAAATGGATGGATGTTTTTTATGTTATACTGCAAAATTAAAACTAAAACAAATTTCCAGTAGGTTATTTTTAATAATAACTTATGATTAATACAAATTAAAAATTTAGTGATATAATATTATTTAACATTATCTTTTGTTGTAGACCAGTTAAAATGTATTGAAAAGGGAATTGCGTGTTCAAAAAACATGATGCTCGATGGAAGTTACAGTAAACCAATATTGTTACAAGTAATAATTATTTTGGATAATTATGTATGGGATACTAATTGTATATAAAATGTTAGTTAAATTAATATTTTTAGATGAAACAGTATGCCACTTTGATAAAAAGATTTTGATTATGTGGATTATTCATTGCATTTTATCACAGACTGTTATTCTATTCAATTTTAAATGAAGTTGAAACGTAAATAAATAAATGTATTGTTTTTTTATTTTATTAAAAAATTATTTTAAAATTTATTTATTTTTATTTTTGCTTGAATACAAAATTTAAGTATCTCATAAAATTATAAAGTATAACCTTAGTTTGATTCTAATCCAAATAATATATTATTAAACTTACCTTGATTTTAATTCAAATAATATAATATTAATTTGGCTTTATTTTTAAAGTAGGTAGTTGAAAAAATAATTTCTTATTAATACCATATTTTGCGCATTTTAGAACATTTGAAAATTATATATATTAAAATAATATCTTGTATCATGTGTTAAGTATTCTCTAAGGAATTAATATTTATAAAGTTATAGTTAGGGAATAATAAGTATAGTTAAGAACCAATTCATTGACAAAATTATTTATTTGAAATATTTAGTACTGGAATCCAAACATTTGTACTAATGTCGATTGGAAGAAGTTTTTTTTATCCATCAGCTTTATTAATTTTAGGTATTATAATTAAATTAGTAAATACTAATTTATCTACTTTTATGTAACTTAAAATAACAATGTTTTTTTTTTTTTAATTTAATGAGCTTAGCGCTAAAATTTCATGTACTTATTCATCATACCTTTCTTCAAATAACATGGTGCTGCTTCTACCTATATTAGATTTTTTAAATTTTGATTCATTCTAAAAACTTCCATGTTCACTATTCAGTGTTAATGTTGTATACCACACTGAAAATAATTTGAACATAATATCACTCATGAATTATTAGAGCATAATAGTATTTCACTTTGATATCTGTGAATATTTGTAATATGAGCGATAAATATTGACGCAGTTCCTTAATGTTCATTGTCGAAATGGCTTAGCAGCCACTAAAATATATTGTCTAATTCTGATAAGACATTTTGTACAATGACTAGGGAATGTGTGTATTATATATTTGTCTGGCAATATCAGTTATTTTATATTATACCTGAAATATACATACTGCCAGTAACATATATATTAATATGACTATCTGATGATATATTTTTAAAATATTTCAATTTATTAATTTGATTTAATGATAATTTTCTATTTCAGCACTTTCCTTTGTACAGAAAAAATGATATCGCTTGCAACGAATTGGACTCGGCCCCGATAAAAGAAAAAGAAACACCATTTCGTGAAGGTTGGGATTGTCTACGGAAAGATGCAACAGAAATGGTACATACTATTTACTACCTAATTCTATAAGATACATTACTAAAACTATTGAAATTATATATAAATTAATCATGTCATTATATAATATGGCAGCCAAATTAATGAGATTAATGTTAAAATGAGAATATACCTTTTTTTTCTATTTGAGTGCTCTTTACCAGTTGCTATACATCTACATGGCTATGTTTATTATGACAAATAAATTTTATTTTTACAAATTAATTATTAATCCAATTATTTTATGAAATATTAAAATATTTACAGTACTATATTATTAATAAATATTTATTTACCATACTAAGTATTTTATAATAAATATGTTATTAGTTGTTGAAAATTATAAAACCTCGCGTGGTGTTTGGTGGTCATACACATCACGGGTGCCATTTGAAACATGAAAATGGAATACATGAATATAGTATTTCTTCATTTAATTGGAGAAATAAATATAATCCTAGTTATATGCTTGTAAGTATCATGCAAATTAATCAAAAATAGTATTTTTTTTCTTTTATTAAATATTTTGTAATGAGTTATCAAATGTATAATTTTTAACGTTTTCATTACAGGCATTATTTACAGCAGACACTTATTCCGTTGAAACTTGCCACATGCCTCGAGAATATACTATTTTCCTTATTTACTTAATTATGATTATAGTTATGCTATTTAAATTATTAAAAAATGAAATAAAAATTGCACGCATAAATATTTTACGATTTATTAACCATAAGTTTAAATTAAAATATTTCACAACAAAAAATTAACACTAGTCATTAAATAATGCTCTTCTCATATAATGGTTTTTCAGCAATTAGTCGGCCAAAGCCAAACCTAGTAAGATCAATCGAGCTGTATCCATTCTCTGTGATTGCTTCCATGATCGCACGGCCAATGGCCGGTGCCTGTTGTATACCTAACATTTACAAAATAATTATCAATGTCTATATAATATGCAAAATGAAAGTTGTTAAGAACTCATACTTACCATGACCACTAAAACCAGTTGCAAAGAACAAGTTAAAATAACTAGGATGGGGTCCTACGATTGCATTTTGATCGTACCAATTATAATCATAATATCCAGCCCAACTACTTTTTACCTGTAAAGTAAGAACTATATAAACATCAGTATGAACAACTAAACAAATTTGAACAATTCATTAGTTAAGTATAATTTGTAATATAAAGTTGACTGATAATAAATTATACATTAATATGATAACATATCAACTATACATAGTATTGTAATAAATATATATAATAAGCAATGAACAATGAAAATAAATATTAATATACATTATACATATATATATATATACACTAGGATGGAGTCCTACGATTGCATTTTGATCATACCAATCACAATCATAATATCCAACCTAACTCTTTTTACTTGTAAAGTAAGAACTAAATAAACATCAGTATGAACAACTAAAAAAATTCGAATAATTCATTAGTTAAGTATAATTTGTAATATAAAGTTGATTGATAATAAATTATATATTAATATGATAACATATCAACTATACTATATTATTGTAATAATTATATATAATAAGCAATGAACAATGAAAATAAATATTAGTATACATTTTAAAATCTTACATTCATAATGTAACATCACATTACAATATATACTAATATTAAATATTACCTAACTGAAAAGTATTAGATTTTAATGTAATACATGTAATTTAGCCAACAATCAATGTAATTGTAACTTAAGAAAAAAAAAAAATGAAATAAAAAAAATCTTGAAATTATCTAAATATTTATACTGTAAAACTTGAGCATTATTATTAAATCTATAATCTTGTAATACAATATATTTTTAATTTATTTTATGCATATAACTGTATGCTATTTTTGTATGACATTATTGATCACACATAGAGCAACTTAATGAAATTTATTATTAAGCAATGGTATACATTATTTATATTTTAAGTAAAATACATTAGTTTGAGGTATAATTTAATATAAATATAAATAAATAAACATACAGTTTATATATAGAAATAAAATAAATAAAAGTTTAGTCTGGAACATTATTGCAGTAGGTACGATTGGTTTTCTAATTCATCATTGAGTCAAAGTCAATAAAATCGCAATTTTTTTTTTCATATTTTGTCACGATTTTATTGACTGTATATATCTGACGATGCATTTTTAATTTGAATACTTAACACATAATACTTCAGGCTAAGAGCTTATTTATTTATTTTGTTTATTTATTTATATATTAATAATTTTTAAATAATAAGCAGATATGGAAGGGGTTATGATAGTATGGCAGGTATAATATATATGTTATACAGAATGAATACTATTGTATAGTATGCCATTATATATATAATGTTGTTACCTATATTGTTATGTTGTTATATTATGTATAATGTTGTACCTTAAAAATATAATAATAATTTAGACTAAGTATTTATTTATTTTTATATATAAACTAATTATTTATAAATTAATTTACAAGTATTAACCAATTAATAATTTTTATTTTATTTTCTATAATTTACAGAATTTTTTTTTATCAGATTTTGTAGATCTATTGCAATGTTCTAATTAAAAAGTAAAATATATTATGTTTAATAATCAAAAATAAATATTAAATAACATTAAAAAATCTTGTACAATGTTGTGTTTTCACATTTCAAAACTATTGAATAATTCTATATTTATTTAGTATTCAATGCAGTCTTAAATTATTTTAAAACATGTAATAATCTTGCATCAATTATGTACATAATTTGAGTTGAAATTCTTTTTAATTATATTTTATTAAATTCATCTTCAATGTATTTTATATTTTAACACTAATTATAACCAGAAATCATAAGCAATAATTTAATTTTATTATGTTAAATATTTATTGGATTAATTTTAATAATTACTTTTGCTTCTTCAAAGGCAGGAACTCTGTGAGCAAGATTTGACCAAATCTCTTTTTCAAAAAATTCGTGATCTACATCCAAATTAGCTGTATCCGGTTCATCATCTGGCATTGGTGATTTACCACATATGTAGTGGTTATCAAAACTGTCAGGCCTACAAATAATTAATCCATACTATTAATTTTAAATATAGAAATTAGACCTAAAGAATATGAATTACATATATTTTAAAAAGAATTTTAATTTAAAAATGTATTCATAAATAAATAGTAATTTTCTGAAGTACAGTAATAATTAATCATATTTGACTAATTATAATTTTAATATTATTTTTAAATTAAGAGCAATGTGCGTGAGAAATGAATACTGCTAAAAGCCAATAAAGTTAAATTGTATGTTTACATATAAATAAGAAATATTAAATAAACATTAATTAATTAAAAATTAGTTTTCTTATATTTTAAATAAGAAATATTAATATTAAGTTACATTTCTAAAGCATAAATAATTCATTAGGAACTGTTTACGAATTTGTTCTACATATAAACTTCATAGATCTTTAGAATACATGTCATGTTTATAGGTAAATGATAAATAAATTGTACCAACCTGAAATAAATTCCAGATGGATCAATAACCATTGGAGCCAATGAAGGACCCTTAGGAGCATGGTAATAATAAACATAACGTTTACTGTAAAAAAAATAAATAATAAAAAGATAAATAAAACTTGTCTAATACCTAATATTTTAATGTTTGTTCCAATTTACCGAGCTTCAACGGGCAAAGGCGTTGATAAAAATCCTTTACCTTCACCAACCTTAGCCTTTCTGGCAATATTTCCTGAATTAGCGCCAGCTGCTATTATACATATACCAAAAACTATTTGTTGGGTTTCACCATTTGCTAAATTGATCTGAAATAAAGGTTGTCATTTATATTTAAGTCAATAAACATTAAACATTAATTTAAAAAATCCAAATCAATAAAATGTATTATTAAAATATTCAAATAAGAATAAAATACCTATTTCTTTTATTATTTTACTATTTTTACTAAAAGAGGAATAATATTTAATAATATTGGTATAAAAATGTATGAAAAAAAAACTGATTTACACATACCTTTACACTGTTAATTCCTTCATATTCTTTATTAGGATTTCCCTCTGCAGATATACTTTGATCAAATTTAAAACCAAAATCAGTCACTTCGCCCTCAACATAATATGTCCCAAGTGATTTAGCTTTAGTTCTAAATGCATTCAACAATGACCATGGATCAAACCTATACAATTAGTAATGTACAACAATAAATATATATATCTAAATAATTACAATTAATACCATCCAGAATTTAAACTTCCAAAACTTCCTAATTCAATATCATCTACATTTAACCAAGGATATTTTTCCTTAATCATGTCTGGCGTTAACAGCTCAACACAAGCTCCAAGTTCTCTAAATATTAATAATGAAAAATTTAAGAATAATAACTTCCAAATTATAAAATAGATCATACTTTTGTACTTTATGATTTTCTAACATAGTATCTGCTCCTTTTTTTGTGGCTAAAAATAAATAACCAGATGGGTTAAAATTTACTTCAGGTGGATCTTGATCTGGTACAGTTAGGTAATCTTTGATATCTCGAAGAAATTCAGCACTAAATTGGGATAACTGAATATTTTCTTTGAGTGAAAACTGTTGACGAATTCCTCCACATGATAATACTGAAGATGCTTTTTCATACTAAAATATTAAACTCTTTCATCTTTTATTAAGTTAAAAATAATAGATGCACATAAGAATTTTAGTTTGTGAAAATAAGTTTATATAATATTAGTATTTTGTTAAAAATCAATAGTTAAATTTGATTAGGACTTTATATTTTTATAACAAAAATATTATATAGTAAAAAAAAATGTTTTTATTTTTTCTAACGTCCTTTTAAATATTATTATATAATATTATATATAATTAAAAATTTGAAATAAGTCTTTTACTTGAAATAATTAATAAAACTATTAAATAATATACAATAAATTAAAAAAAATTAATCTGAATGATAAAAAATACACTAAATTGAAATATTACTGATTGAATAAATAATTAAATCATAGAAATAAATAAACAAAATAAGCTTTTTAACAACAAAAATTAAATATACACAATATTTAAATTTTATAATTATCTAGTCAATAAAAAATTGTAATTCAAATATTAAGAACTATGATGGAATAAGTAGTTTTCTCAGAATCATAGTAAACAAATAAATGTATACAAACTATAACAATTTGAAAATCAAATTAAAATTGAATAAATACTATACATTAAATTGTTATAAAATCCTAAATGTAAAATTTCTCAACTCCAATACAATACTTATATGAATATTAAAACATAATATTAATACAATTACCAGGAATAATGTCAATAATACTAGATCAATTACTATACCTCTTGAAGAGTTAAAATAGTTTTGTTTACCGATAAATCTTTTTCAACAACAGCAATATTTAATCCGTCTCTGCATTTGTTTTGAAGCCAATAAGCAATGGATGAACCCATCACACCTCCACCAATGATCAGTACGTCTACTGTTTTGGGGAACAGTTTATTGTCCTCGTATTGGTCAAATGGATCATTAAATGTTTTTACTATCTCGTTAAAGTCCCTCTTCAAAAATCTTTTACACCTATCAATTGGATTTTCATTAACAGTGTCTGGGTCGTAGTGATTTCGGGGACTTTTCCTCTCCGAACTGTCATGCTTGAATCTTTGTGCGCACAGATTATAATTGAAATTGCTACGCAGAATCGAGCTGATTTTGCGCGTATACATGTTGGATGGTACTGATCAACCGACAACGTTCAGCGGACCGAATGCGATTGGCAATGGCGAGTGAGGTATTAATAGGTCATCGCATTAGCTTATCTTCGAAAATCAAATAATATGCACAACGGTTTTACCAATTAATTGCTGTTGTTGATGAGACTCGGAAAACGCATTGAACACGTGCTGCTTTTAGCGTGTATGATGGCACGTTGTCGAAAAGGCTAACAAAAACGTTCAATGAGCAAAGCAAAACGTAGTATTATAAATAATAATACAACTAATTAGTATTATTACTGTCAAAAAGTGTAAAGGTTATGCGTGAACAAGATTATTCAAACCGTGCCGGCTAAATGAATACTTATCTGTTCAGTGTTATCAATCGATAAGAACCGTGTACTAATTGATACCGCCAGCATTTGCATAATAATATTGCAGTAATATTGTTGAATGTTGTGGTATGCGGCCCAGGTTAGGCCGTTTGCACACTAGTTCGTATCGGACGATATTATCGGTGATTTTATCGGATACACCGATAATGCGTATAATAATTTTTATCAATCGTATGCACACTAATTCCGATCCGATAAAATGTCTGATTTATTTCACCGATATCGTTGTGCATGTCGGACAAACGACCAAAATCGGACGATACTTTAACGGTTCGGTTTTAATAATTACTTAAAATAAATGGTTCGTTTGCACACTCGTCAATATTATCGGAATAATGAAATAAAATGTAATTTTAATTCATCGCATGCATCAAGTAGACGTATTCAATATTTTTTGAGTAAATACAAAAAGTATTGTGAATTTTGAAAAATGAATTAGTTTCCCTACGACATGTCGACTCTGATTGAATTGGCGGAATCAAAGCCATGTCTTTGGGATAAAACGATAAACGAGTATAAAGACAGAAATCTAAAAAAAAAAAACAATGGGAATTTAATGTGTAATATAGCTAAGAGAGCGATTTTCTTTTTAGAATTAATTTTTAATTGTTAAACATTAGAAATAGTAAGAAATTACTGATAGATACAAGCCCAATAATCGTAATAATTTGATTTTTATTCTTTTATCGGACCGATAATTTTGACTAAAGTGCAAAATAGATCCATTTTCCACTCACTGCTCAGTTAACGCATGTTTACTAATCTATGACGCACATGTTCACTGTTCAGCCGTTCAGCGTCATATTCTTTTTTGTGTTCAGTTTCAGTAGTATCTATACTGTTATTTTATTTCATATTATTTTATATTTTACGTCATTGGTTCAGTGTTCATCAGGGCCGTTCCGAAGATGAAAATCAAGGGGGGTGAATAATATGAAAAATTCCGACTACAATTTTTTTACTCAATGTATGTAGTATAATTAGCTATATGTAGTCGTATTTTTACTTTTTAACATGTATATATGTGTCAATGTGTCAGTGTCGCACATTCTTAAAATTGACAATTTCATTATATATATATATATATATATATATATATATATATATATATATTTTATATTGTATAAGTAGTTATAGAAATTTTATTCGTGTATACACAGTGTCGGAAAAACATCACGGTTCAGATGGTGGTACCTAACGGAACGTACGTTACGCCAGCACCGACCATTAGGAAAATTTGATTTTTTTCACTATCAATAATTAGCACGTAATTAGCATGAATTTGCATGACCAATTTCGCAATTTGCATGTCATCCATTTCTCCAGAATCGCAAAAATTAACGGGCGGTGCTGGCGAAACGTTTCGTCAGCACCGCCCAATCGCAAAAATGGAATTTCATATATTTTTTCATAGCCATTATTTAGCACGCAATTAGCATGAATTTGCACGACTATCACTTGCATATTTTCGCGAATTTTACATATTTCGTAAAAATTTGAACTCTATGCACTTATAAAAATACAATTGTTACTTACATTTTTTGTTTTTTTTATATCCGATAAGGAAAACTTATAAGGCACTCTGTATTAAGTTTTCAAGATTTTTTGAGCGGCCAAATTTTTAATCGATATTTAAAAAAAAAATCCATAATTTAAATTGTCAATAAATAGCTCGAAAAAAGTCAAAATGCTTTGAAAATTTGACTGTCTATAGACAACACTAATATAAATATTTGGTGAAAATTTTATGTTTTTAAACTTATTATTTTTTGAGTTATTGTAAAATAAAATAATCATTTTTGTCGAAAACTGGGTTTGAATAAAAATTCCTGTTTTTCCGTTGCTTTTTTAGGATTTTTCCTGACGCTTTTGAAAACTATTGGAGATTTTCTAAATTCAATCTTTAAAATGCACAATTGGTTTCCAATTTGCTACTGGAGATTATCTCTGACTTTGAGGTATTAATTCATGTAGTTATGGTGTACACATACACAAAAAATATACATCATTGTTAAATCAATACATTCCTCACTCCGTTCAGAATCGAAAAAACATTTATTATTTGTTATTAGCTGGGACTCAATTTACCAACCCCGGTCATAATTTTATAGTTTTGACATAGGTAGTATAGATACTAATGTAATATAAATATTCGCAAAAGTAAATACTATTTATTATTATTTAATACATAAATTATAACTAATATTATATATTATGAATTACATATATCCAAAAAGACCTTAAACAAAGTGATAAAAATTTAGAATAAAAAACATAAGTGTAATTTTATGTCTTTGACTTGTCTACAACAAAACCAACAAATTTTATTTTGATATTCCAATTTATATTGTGTAAATAAGAATTTCACAAGGAACTGTGGTGGTTTCTTTTACAGCCTTTGGTTTATTTTGTACATCGTCGTATATTTCCCAGTTGTGAGGTCCACGTTTACACAATGCCAAATAGTGACCTATGGATGTTCTAAGACGACTAAGTCCACGGCGATAACTACAAACTCCTCTAAGTTCAAAACTTTTCCCCGAATATTGTAGAACCTCAGGAATATTTTGCTATTTTGCGTGCTAAATAATGGCTATGAAAAAATATATGAAATTCCATTTTTGCGATTGGGCGGTGCTGGCGAAACGTTTTGCCAGCACCGCCCGTTAATTTTTACGATTCTGGAGAAATGGATGACATGCAAATTGCGAAATTGGTCATGCAAATTCATGCTAATTACGTGCTAATTATTGATAGTAAAAAAAATCAAATTTTCCTAACGGACGTTGTCGTGACTGCTCGCGTCCCCTGACCGGTGATGGGTGAAGGGACGGGGTGTCGCGGTGACGTTGCGTGCCGCAGAGTGATGGTTGATGAGAGATAAGGGCACGGTCGGCGACGGCCGTTTTGGTAACGGCTGCAGCAACGGGTCCGCGTCAAACAGCTGACACCTAGACGTAGAAACTTTTATAACACAACTAATATTTTATTGAAAAAGTGTCGACGAACAAATAGCCGTAAAAATCTGTTTAAAGATAGACTCCATGCCGCTGAAAAGTTCACTGCAGAATATTTAATTGACAACAATTCTGCAAAAATGACTGCTGCAGCTTCATTATTTATGCGCTTGCAAATAAGAGAGACTAGCAAACTTAGTAGAGGCCGTCGATTCACTATCGATGAAAAAATGTTGAGTTTATCTTTGTATAAAAGATCGCCAAAATGCTACAGAATGCTGTCTAAACTTATTACTTTACCAAGTAAACGGACATTGAATATAATATTGTTTACAGTTGTAATTTCTACTGGTATTTGCCCATCAATAATGAGTGTGCTTAAAGGAAATGTTAAAAATCTGAATCTGAATCTTATATATACTAATCTATGATGCGGCCCAAGTTCTGCGCTGATTGAGGATAAACAATAATTGCCTATCGGTACTAAAAACCCGCGGATACCTACACAGTCTCAATGACTATTGATAAAACCCTTCCGTCCTGAGATCCCCTCAGGATATCAAATCGATTTATTATGATTTTAGAGGGATTTCGCTGTGACGTCATTTTTTGTCAAACATAAATTGATGTTCACTACACTTTAGTTGTATTCTATTAGATACACAATGTTTGTTTTTGTCCTAGTGTAATAGTGTACGTTTTCTATTCTAATGAATAAAAACGGCGAAATCACTAAGTCGGGTAATACTCCACGGTCGAGTGAGATACCAGGATGGGTAATTTATATTGTTGTAGATATTGTTTTTTTAAACTTGAAACCCGGATTACTCTTAAAAAAACGATTTAGAGGCTCGTCAAGGGAGGCAAGTGTGACTCAGCCTCACCTAACTGTTGTAAATAATAAGAAATTATACTATATTTGTAGTTATTTTCTATCGCTTTTAAGAATATTATAATCAGTAATTAAAAATATAAGTTTTTTGATATTATACATATTATATATTTAATACTATTTATCAAAAACAATGACAGAAAATGTTCGTACCTACAGTTGTTTCCACTTGGGAAAATATTGTCAAACGTCTGTTCATTCAGTTGTTCACTATGTTTGCCAACATTCGTGACCATGTCAAATCATGAACTTAAAAAAATAAAATAATAATAATATATATATATTAGAGAAAACTCTAAAATATGCGCTATAAATTGCATGTTTGGATTGGTTGAATTATAAAATGTTAACAAAAATGTTAAATTAATTATATTTGTAAAAGTGTACTTATAATTAAATTATTTTATATAAAATTGAAAATTACCCTGGATTATTAAAATGTTTCATGGTTCTCAATCTTTTTAGGACCGCGACCCAAATTTTCTTCTAAAAATCTTTTGCGACCCCATAGTTTTACATTTACAGAATCAATAAAAATAATTTCAAAAAACAAATTTTTTCTATTTTATTACTTATTTACTACTTTATAATAATAATAATATATTTATAATAATAATAATAATAATATAATACTTAATTAATAATTAAGCGTATGTGATGAATGTGCTCGTTTATTACAATCTGTTAAATTTAAAAAAACTTCTCGCGACCCCCAGTTTGAGAAACACTGATCTAATGCAATGATACAATAAGGGAATAACAATGACAAAACTAACTATTAATATATCAAATTTTCAATGAAAACATAAAATAATATTTGATGAGGTCTATTTATTTCCAATAATTCAAATATTTATAAAAATATAACCAAGTAAATAACATCACTATCAAAAAAGTGTGATTATTTTCTGTATTATGTGAAAGTATACCCAAAAATAACACTATAAACCCTAAATTAGCAAAATAGCAATAAAACCCGTAAATATGCAAAAAATAGCAAAATCAAATTTTTTGTATGATATTCGAGTAGTTAAAAAAATATTTGTATCTTACTGTGGACGTTCTAGGATAAACCAAGTAAAAATTGCATTTGATAGAAAATCTGAGCTCTGCTTATAACTAAATTTATAAATTAATTATATAGAAGTACATAGGTATTCAAGTACAAATATTCAACATTTTCGTTTAGTGCGCGAACATCTTTGTTTGGATTAGTGTTTACTGGGAAATACGGCACTAGCATAAACATAAAAAAAATATAGGTACCTATACTTCAATTTTATCAGATAAATGTCTTTTGTTATTCATTTTATTGCGACAAAATAAAAATATTCATCGACATATTATTATGTATATTGTAGCGTGTCGCCAGTTACTATATATTACATAATAATCAGGTGCGGATCTAGAAATGAAAGGGGGGGCTAAACAAAAAAATGTACTTAAAGTACCTACATAGTTTAAGTTTTTTTATTTATTATATAGGTTTATTAAAAGAGATTATTTTAATAATAACAAACTTTAATAAACATAACAAATTAAATTCCTCCATTTTTATTCTTCTGGATGATCTTGAAAATATATTTATCACTTCTTCAATATTTATAGGTATGTTTTTATGAATGTTTAAAACAGCTAAACCGTTCAAACGGTCCTGTCCCATGGTTGACCTCAAATAATTTTTAAGACGTCTTAATGAAGAGAAACTTCTTTCTGCAATAGCTGTGGTATTTATATTGTATAATGTTTTATAGACTATAGTTCTACAGCCATTACCTATTACTTAATATTTTGTATGTAATATTATATAAAAATACTCAATACTGTTAACATTCTGAGAATAACAGCCCAATAGACGATGGTATTATACAGATTTATGGAAGGAGAGGTCAATATTTATTTCCGACTCCGATGCTCACCGTAAACATTATTGAAAGATAATAGAAATCAAGATACACTGACTATTTAAAATATAAATAATAACTAATATAGTAATATGACAATTTATAAATGATACGTCATTGGTCTATCGTTTATGGTCTATGATACTGTTGACAATATATAAATATACTGGTTTTCTTAAGGTACGGGTTTTCTTAGGCTACAGTCCTATGAAGTTATTTTTAAATTCCATGTAAAATGAATTAATATATGATATACATTGATTACGTCTATTATAAACGTGAACTGTGAAGTATCGATATTAGTCATTGTGCAATATCTGCCTTACGTCGTAAACTGTCGACGCACAGTATCACGAATGTTATAATTTTAAATATTTTAATTAATTAAATTAAATATTTATATTATGCCACCAAAAAGTGGTTCTTAAAAAAGAAAAGAACGATATCAAAAAGATGCTGAGTTGAAAAAATTACGAGGTTCTTTTGACAGATTTCTGCCCAACAAAAATGGTACGTACCCATTAAGTAATTTATTAGTATGCGTAAAATAAACTATAAAGTCAAATAAATAATATTGATATTCTTATTGATCTTAATAATTTATATCTGTCAGAGTTAAAATATTTAAATATAGGCAACTTCGGTTTTTAATATGTTTTTATGTTAAAAAATGTTCTATTTACCTACTTATCAAATTACAATTAATTGAAAATTTTTAAACCTACAGTAAATTCTTCAAGTGTGTTGATTGCATTGGAAAATGGTGGCCAAGAAAATATTGGTGACATTTTACAAACTGATAATAGTGAAAATGCTATTGGTCATTTGTGTAATTCAGATGATTCAGCTTGTCCAGGTATTATTTTATAAAAAGTTAATCTAGTATTTCTTATTATTTTAAACATTTTTTATAAGTAAAAATAATTCTGCTCTAGCTGAAAAAGTAATTGACAACAGTACAATTCTTGTTAAATCTACTGCAACTTCTGTGAGTGAAAGAACTGCGTTGGAAAGTAGTGTTCAAGAAAATATAAATGAAACTGTATAAACTGAAAATACTATTAGTCATTTGTGTAATTCAAATGATTTAGCTTGTCCCGGTATTATTTATTAAAAAGCAATCTGATTTTTTGAATTAAAATTTGTATATGAAAAATATTCAAATACCTCATATTCCCTATATTCAATATAAATTATAATAAAATTTTGAACGATAATTATTAAGATATCATTATTCAGATTTATCAAATTAAATATAGTATAATATGTTTAATAACCAGTTATCGATAATAAAAATAAAAAAAACCTACTATTATAAACAATTAATAACTTTATTAGTATTAAGTTTATACAATCATTAAATTGTATTGAATAAATAGTTCCCTATTAATTATTAGTTTAGTATATTTGCTCATTTTGTCAGCTGGCATATTTGAGAAGTCATTATATTAATTCCGTAGCAGTTTTAAATAAAGTAAGTATAGTGTGTTATTGCATATTACATGTAATATAGTTCCTAATACATTATACATAGATTTATACTTTATACTTTTGATATATATTATAAAGTTCATTTTTTTT